GGTTCTCTCAAGGGTTCAGTCATCTCCAGTATCACTCAGAGGAGAAAACAAAACAACACAAACTGCACTCACTTTAGAAGCTTCTTTTCTTTGCATATGGGGAGATGCTGCTGTCACAAGGATCTTTGCAGTCTGGGGGCTTAGCAAGTGCCCACTTTCTCCATAGGCCCCCTATGTGTCCCCATAAGCACCAAGCATTCAAGTCTATCCCCTGAATAGGAAAGTGGGAGAAGCAAACAGAGCACTGAATTCTGCTCTGGATAGGGAGAAACAAGGGAATCAAGGTCTATGCCTGCCCTTCTCAGAACTTTCAGAACCTACCTAGCAGTTAGCCATCTTGTGGGAAGGCGGAGACTGGGGGAAATCATGAGTTCCACAGAACCTGGATTCAGAGCTCTCATCCCATGTGGCAGCAAACCCCATGCAGTCAGGAGGCAGCTCCTGGAGGTCCAGCAATTTATCAGCCTCAAGCTCAGTTCTCTGTTTCTGCCATGGTCCTCAGGTGATGGAGCTTACACAGAGGGTGGGAAAACTGACGACTGCACCTTTCACTGCCCCTGCTCCCCACTGCTTAAACTTCCCAGGGTGCCCAAGTTGGATTCTCTCCCACTCCATGACCACCTTTTGTGGCCATCTCCTACCTAGAGCCTGTGGTAATGTGTCCTTAGGGTCCCTGAGATGCATTTTTTTCTTTGCTTTCAGGTTCCTAGAGGAGCTCAGTTTCAAAAATAGGCCCCTTCTCAGGATGGTTCCTGGCTATAGCACTCCAAGATATAAGGAGTGACAAAATGTGTTTATTCTCCAATGCTGGCCTGCCATGTAGGTGGAGTGACTGTCACATCCGATCCCTGCATTGGGCTCAGGACTTGAGGGAAGTGTGGGCTTATCCTGTGGCCAGGTCTGCCAGTCTGCTGTTGCCAGGTTTGCCTGGCTTACATTGTTGTTGTGGTTTTGGTCTCTGCCCTCCCCCTCTCCCTGCCCCAGGAGGTAGGATTGGAGCTGTGGGCTGTTTCCTATTTTTCTCTGTGTTGCTTTTCTGTCTGTCACCTTTTTCTTGATTCCTGATGCTCTTTCTCTCTTTCTGTCTTTGGAATATAGTTTCTTATTTGTTACCTGACTCTTCTCATTCACAAGGTCTTATCGAGGCAGTGTCTTATCCACTGTCTTGCCCCATCTCCCAGGCATTATTATTTCCACAATAGACTTTATTTATTATTTTTTTTCATTTTTCTTTTATTATTCATATGTGCATACAAGGCTTGGTTCATTTCTCCCCACTGCCCCCACCCCCTCCCTTACCACCCACTCCGCCCCCTCCCTCTTCCCCTCCTCAATACCCAGCAGAAACTATTTTGCCCTTATCTCTAATTTTGTTGTAGAGAGAGTATAAGCAATAATAGGAAGGAACAAGGGTTTTTGCTGGTTGAGATAAGGATAGCTATACAGGGCATTGACTCACATTGATTTCCTGTGCGTGGGTGTTGCCTTCTAGGTTAATTCTTTTTGATCTAACCTTTTCTCTAGTTCCTGTTCCCTTTTTCCTATTGGCCTCAGTTGCTTTAAGGTATCTGCTTTAGTTTCTTTGCGTTAAGGGCAACAAATGCTAGCTAGTTTTTTAGGTGTCTTACCTATCCTCACCCCTCCCTTGTGTGCTCTCGCTTTTATCATGTGCTCATAGTCCAATCCCCTTGTTCCACAATAGACTTTAAATCGAAAGAGTTGACTTGAGACAAATGACTGCTTATACTAATAAAAGATTAAATATAGGAATAAGATATATCAGCTATAAATATTTACATACCCAGTAACATACCATCAAAATAGATGTTAAAAGGGAGAAAATTCTAACACACATTACAACATAGAAGAACCATATGGAAATTAGGTCAAATGAAATAGCCATTTACTAAAGGACAGAAGTTGTGTGATGCCACTCATATGAAGTCCCTGGAGGAGTCTGAGTCATAGGGGCAGGTAGCAGCCTGAGGGGCACTAGGGGCTGAGGAGTCAGTTAATGGGGACACAGTTTTCAGATTGTGAAGTTAAGGAAGTTCTGTGGAAGAATGGCAGTGAAGGTTACACAACATCAATGTACATTTAAAAGTGAGTACTTGCTCTGGTTCCATGGCCTGGCTATTGTGGATAGTGTTGCTATAAACATGGGTGTGCAGTTGTCTGTATTGTATGCGGACTTAACATCTGTTTGGCTATATCCCCAGGATCACATAGTGAGTGTATGTTCAGTATTTTGAGGAATGTCCATGCTGATTTCCATAGTGGATGCACTAATTTACATTCCCACCAACAGGGTATAAGGATCCCCCTCCACACCCACACCCACCCCACCATGACTTTCTGCTGCCCTGTCTTGGTTGCCTGGAGGACCAAACTTACTCACAACAAAGCAACAAGCAGAGCTCCTGGGCTGGCCACCCATGTGTAGTCAAGGTGTTGCCCTGCTTCCTTATCAGGCATGTGACTCTTCATAGGAATGACCCCTGACCTTACCTGTAGTTAAGTGTGACACAGATAGGGTGGACAGCAGCCCTAGCCCTGGGCCCTCTGTGTGGGAAGAGGGATTGTATTAGTCCCTCTCCTGGGGTGCAGGTAAGGTTCAGGAAGGTGTGAGAGTAGGGCCAGTGTGGTTGCTCTCCAGTTACTGGCAGGTCCGCTGCACCTGGCTGCTGGCCAAGGTCTGCATGGGCCATTGCCCTGTCACATGGGGCTTCCCAGCCTGCTCCTAGGAGTCTGGACTGATGTATCAGTGTGTGGCTGGCTGGAGAAGGTGAGGTTACCAGTGTGCCTCAATGTGGCTGGGTCCTCAGGAGGATGAAGGCAGTCCAGTGTGTAGGGAGTAAGACATGAGCCCCAGTACCTAGGGGAAGCTGTCCTTGTCCTGGGGGCTTTGAGTTTGTCAGGGAAAGTCCTTCACCGAGTGGAAGACACAATCCCCTATGTGGTTGGCAGCTCAATGCCTTGAAGTTTCCTTGTTCATAAAGTGGGAACCAAAATTCATACCTGGTGTGAAATTCTGCTTTTTATATCCCTGAATATTTATTTGTTTAACAGAACCAGAGACCTGCCAGCCCATGTATCGCTGGAAGACACTAAGCCTCTTCCAGTGACCCTGTCCCCCCAGGATCTCCAGCCATGCCTATTTCCTCTTCTGGTTGTGGAGGGGATGTGATCACAGATTCCTCTTCTGCCCTCTGATTGGACATAAGGGGTACACCTGCCACCTTGTTAGAGGAACTGAGGGACAGTGTGTGTCTTGAGAACCTGAGTTCTATACCCATTTACCTCTTGCTCACTATGTGACCTTGGACAAAGTCTGGCCCATACTGTATCTTGGCTTTTGGGATCACTGGGGGGCACTTGGTGAGGTGTTAGGACCCAGGGCCTGTGGCTGTGGGCAGGGATGTCCTGGGAGGATGGCCAGAGAATCCTGGCCAGGCAGGGTGGGAAGAAGAGGGGCCCCTGTGGCAAGGTAGGAAAGAAATCACAATCCAGGCCCTGTGTGCTTCCTCAAAGCACACAGGTTCCCAGCACTTGGCTCAGCCTTGAGACTCTGGGGCAGGACACAGGGTCTGCATTTGCACGAGGTCATGCGGAGGACCAGCACAGTGCTATACAGTTCGTTCATTGCTGACTGTCTACTAGGAATAGGGTTGGTGAAGACTTTGAGCCCATCCACACATCTGGGAGCAGGGGCAGCTCTGTGAGGTACCCAGGCTGGATGGGGGCTGGCCAATTGCCTTGTGTCTGGGCTTCTCCAAGGTGGAGAAGTCCCTGACCATTTGTGGGACCAAAGATGGCACTCCCTCAAGATTGCAAGGCCCTAGGATGTGGTCCTCTGTAGGGCCTGCCATTCCCTATGCAACCTGCAGAATCCAAACTCTGCAGTTGTGGGGCACAAATGTTCAGTCGAGACCTCTGCAACCCCTAAGCTCATCAATCGTGCCCACAATGTCAGGTGAGTCCTCTCTGTAGCTCCCTCCCCTCTGTCTTCCTAAAGGACACTCACATCCAATAGCATCCATTCCTCCCTTGTTTCCAAGAGTTGGAAATTGGGGGAGTTTTATACCTGCAAGGGTCTCAACTAATTGGCTGTTTCTTGATTCTCCATGGGACATAAAATAGGGGCATACAGCAGAAGTGTGGGTGGTGAAACAGATGTCATCTCCTGGTGACACCTCCCAACCATCTCCAGCATCCTCCTGGTCCCAGTGTCTGTAATAGTAGTACTGCCATGTGGGGCCTGGGGAGACAGCACCTCCACCCTGCTCCATAAGACATTCAGTGGCCATCCCTACCAGTAGGGCCCATTTTTACCTCCTGTGTCATAGGCTGAATTTTTGTCCCCCAAACTCACGTGTTGAGGTCCTGAACTCCCAGTAGCTCGGACTGGGAGAGATAGTGAGTGTGTTTGGAGATAGGATCTTTGAAGAGGTGGTTAAGGTACAATGAAGTCACTGGGGTGAGCGCTGATCCAGTCTACCTGGTATCCTCATAAGAAGAGACCAGGATGCAGGCATATACAGAGGGTGCAAGGAAAAGGGAGATGTTATTCACATGCCAAAGAGGCTTCAGGAGGAAGCCTCTCTGCTGGACCTTGATCTTGGGCTCCAGCCTCCAGCACTGTGAGAAGGTGCTTTTCCACGGTCCATCCCTGCCTGTGGCATTTATTCCCATGACAACAGCAGACAGTGCTCCCTGGATGTTGGGACCCAGCAAGAGGCTGCATAGCAAAGCTGGTCCTGATGAAAGAGGGAGGGGAGCAATCCAAGGGAGGCTGAATATGGGGCAGAGGGCTTGGAGTGCCAGGACAAGGTCATCCAAAAGGTGTTTATCTATTGACCACACCTCTCTGATGACACTTGTGGGTAGTCACCACTGAGGGAGGGACCTGATGCCCAGCCCTCAGGGGCCTATAAAGACTGGCTGGCTTGCTGCAGGGCCAGGTTCTGCCCAGCTCCACTCACCTGCCCTCCCACTCCGCCATGAGGATTCACCTGCTTTGGCTGCTGCCTCTGCTCCTACTTGTGTGGCCAGGTGAGTCAGTGGGCTTCTCTGCCAGTGGTTCCTGGGGCCCTTGCTGACATTATGAGGCTGGACAGGCCTCCAAAATGATGTAGCTCTGCTGACAGAGTAGGTGCTAGAGTACAGGACCAGACCTGCTAGAGGCTCCACAGTGAGTACAGACTGAGACGGAAGCAGGACCAGGGGCCAGTCCTGGAGCTGTCTTCACCAGGCATCTCCACTCTGCTTTTCTAACTCACCAGACCCACTGCAGGGCTTGCTGCACTGCAGGGCTTGCTGCCACTTTGGCACAGTCCAGTGGACAGTTGCCCTTTGCCTGCCTGGTGGCGTCTCCTGTAGTGCCATGAGGGTTGGGGGCACTGGAGCCTGTTATCATCTGGACCTCTGGCTGCTCAGAGCTTTGGCTTCCTGCCCTGAAAACAGGAATTGTGCCTGGTGATTTCTGGTGCCTCAGAGGCTGTCAGTGTGGGTGGGAGTGGAGTGCTTGGTACTTCCAAGGAGCAGGGTCCCTGCCTGTGCAGTTGTGGAGTGGGAAGGTGGGGAAGGCCTGGGGCTTGATCTCTGACCTCAGTTGTGTCCCCCCAGCCCAGGCGCTGAGGTGTCATCAATGCACTGCAAGGGGGAATTGCCTAAATGCTACAACTTGTGGTGACAACACCCAGTACTGCCTGACCACCTGGAACAGTAAGTATCTTCTGTCCTGGGCAAGTGGGTGGGTGGATGGTGGGAGTGGAACACCTGGATCTGGCACCTAGGGCCTCCATCAGGTGTGGGGTCTGCTGATGGGCTCAGGGGGGCTGGGAAAGCCCCACTTCTAATCTAGCTACTGAGATTTGCCATCCATACTTGAGGCACAGGCTGTAAGTGCCCCAGCCCTGTCTCCTTCCTCCAAAATGGGAACGACACTGTCACCTCCTTTCATAGGTCCTTAGGAAGAGTGGACAGGATATTCCAGGAGTTACTCCACACAGCAAGGGGATATGGAAAACACTCATTCAAATTCAAATTGTGCGCAGAAAAGAAGAGGGAGAAAAGGGGGAGTGGGCCCTGACCCTTCTCACACTCTGAGCCCTGATCCTGGTCTGTTTCTTTCTGAACCCGGATCCTAGTCACACACTGAGCCCTGACCCTACTGACCTCTTGCTGTGTCCCTGTGGGATGGGAGAACAGTAGGGGATGCTTCAAGCAGCTGTCAGGAGGCCCCAGCTTGCTGGAAGGGATGGAATGCTTTCACAGCTCTCATATTGGACCCTTTGCTTTCTGTTTCCAGGTCCCCCAGGCCAGAAAATGATTGTTATAAAATCATGTGCTTACACTTGTCCTGGCTTTCAACAGAGCTTGGATTCCTCCTGGGCCTCCTGCTGCAACACAGACCTCTGCAATAGTGCCATGAGCCGCCGTGCCAGCTGGGGGCTGCTGGCACTCAGTGTCTGGTGTGTCTACCTCAACAGATAGCAGCCGCATGGAGCCCCAGGCACACTCATGAACTGCAGAATTAGGAGTCTGGAGCCAGATCTTACCCTGCAACTGACACGCTTTGTGATCTTGGGTGTGGGACTTCCTCACTCCCAGTGGGAAGGATGCCAGGAGAGAATGGACACAAATGGAGGGCCTGGCAGGAGATGTGGACACAGTGGCCAGAGGCCCTTGCTGCTGTCCAGGGTGCTGTATTCGGAGAGTTGGCCCTCTGCTGGCCTCCAGGTGCTGGTGCAATTAGGTGGCCTGGGTCATAAACCAGTTACTGAAGGGTGCCAGGCTGAGGCAGGCACGTCTGGAGTCTAAGCTGTTACTTTTCTACCTGCATCTCAGGGCTCCATCCACCTAACAGCCCCAGAGAGCCTGGGCCTTTGTGCTTCGAGGTCAGGGGAGCAGGAGCCGATGACGGGTCACACCTGCTGCCTCCATTGCCGGCACTGACATGCACTACTCTAAGTGGGGTCCAAAGACCACTTGCAAATGAAACCCCGTGGAGGGGCCTCTGTCTAGAGGAGTGTGCTCATGGTGAGGGCAGATGTCACTCAAGAATCTGTAGG